TCCTGGATTAGTCCTGGTCCAGTCCTGGTTCAGTCCTGGTCCAGTCCTGGTGTAGTCTTGGTTTAGACCTGGTCCAGTCCTGGTCCAGTCCTGGTTCAGTCCTGGTGTAGTCCTGGTTCAGTCCTGGTCCAGTCCTGGTTTAGACCTGGTCCAGTCCTGGTGTAGTCTTGGTTTAGACCTGGTCCAGTCCTGGTCCAGTCCTGGTCCAGTCCTGGTCCAGTCCTGGTTCACTCCTGGTCCAGTCCTGGTTCACTCCTGGTCCAGTCCTGGTTCAGTCCTGGTTCACTCCTGGTCCAGTCCTGGTCCAGTCCTGGTTCAGTCCTGGTTCAGTCCTGGTTCAGTCCTGGTCCAGTTCAGATGTAGACCTGGTCCAGTCCTGGTCCAGTCCTGGTCCACTCCTGGTCCAGTCCTGGTCCAGTCCTGGTTCAGTCCTGGTTCAGTCCTGGTTCAGTCCTGGTCCAGTTCAGATGTAGTCCTGGTGTAGTCCTGGTGTAGTCCTGGTGATCGTCTCAGCGGTTGCAGCGTGTATATATTTATAATCACATGGCATAGATTTTCTTGTCCTGGTGTTTCTGGCTTCCTGCCTCGCTGGCAAATTCGGCGGCAAATATAAATACATCATATAATTATCTAAATATAAATATAAATACCTCATATAAACATTTTTTTTTTATACAAATGAAAAATCACCAAAATACAAGATGCAGACGTGTTATTATTTACCAAAAAAGTAAATGCCTCATAGGGCCAGTTCAAGTGGTGGGGGCAGAGGGGCTGGGGGGCCAATCAAAGCGACGTGGAGGGCCGGAGTTGGTCCACGGGCCTTAATTTGATGACCCCTGTTTTAATAGCTTATTTTCACAACACCATTTTCACCGCCACAGGTACACGCCCACTGCTCTGGACTTACTTCTCGCTCCAATTTTATTTTCTTCATCAGTGAGACACGTACGATTCAACAACACCATTTTAATACAAATGAAAAAAAAAAAATCTGCTGCTCTCCAGTGTGATTTAAATGTGCAAATTATAACATAACGACCCACGGATTCAAAGTTTACAGCTCAAGAACAATAGGTTTTTTTTTTTTTTTTAAGAAATACAATGTGTTATAAATTTGCAACAGAAGATTTACCCCTTTCCCTTTAGCGTCTTCCAGCTTTTATTGCTTCTTCTTTAGCGATGCCTTGGCGATGGTCTTAAATCTCAGACGTTTTCTGTTTCGTATTCAGTGTTGGGGAGTAACAGATTGCATGCTATGTAATCAGAGTAAAAATTATGAGTAACTGTATTCGGTTACAGTTACTGTTTCCATGAGTGGTAATTGGATTACAGTTACTTTGTTGAAATAAAGGGATTACACAGAGGTATTTTCCTGTTTTCCTGTTTTGACATTTTGGGCTATAACCCGGTCTAAACCAGGACTAAAACCAGGTCTAAACTAGATCTAAACCAGGTCTAAACCAGGATTAAATCCAGGACAAAAAACAGGTCTAAACAAGTTCTAAACTAGATCTAAACCAGGTCTAAACCAGGACTAAAACCAGGTCTAAACTAGTTCTAAACCAGGTCTAAACCAGGACTAAAACCAGGTCTAAACTAGATCTTAACCAGGTCTAAACCAGGACTAAAACCAGGTCTAAACTAGACCTAAACCAGGTCTAAACCAGGATTAAAACCAGGTCTAAACAAGTTCTAAACTAGATCTAAACCAGGTCTAAAACAGGTCTAAAACCAGGTCTAAACCAGGACTAAACCAGGACTAAAACCAGGTCTAAACTAGATCTAAACCAGGTCTAAACCAGGACTAAAACCAGGTCTAAACTAGACCTAAACCAGGTCTAAACCAGGACTAAAACCAGGTCTAAACTAGATCTAAACCAGGTCTAAGCCAGGACTAAAACCAGGACAAAAAACAGGTCTAAACAAGTTCTAAACTAGATCTAAACCAGGTCTAAACCAGGACTAAAACCAGGTCTAAACTAGACCTAAACCAGGTCTAAACCAGGACTAAAACCAGGTCTAAACTAGATCTAAACCAGGTCTAAACCAGGACTAAAACCAGGTCTAAACCAGGACTAAAACCAGGTCTAAACTAGATCTAAACCAGGTCTAAACCAGGATTAAAACCAGGTCTAAACAAGTTCTAAACTAGATCTAAACCAGGTCTAAAACAGGTCTAAAACCAGGTCTAAACCAGGACTAAACCAGGACTAAAACCAGGTCTAAACTAGATCTAAACCAGGTCTAAACCAGGACTAAAACCAGGTCTAAACTAAATCTAAACCAGGTCTAAACCAGGATTAAAACCAGGACAAAAAACAGGTCTAAACAAGTTCTAAACTAGATCTAAACCAGGTCTAAACCAGATCTAAAACAGGTCTAAACCAGGACTAAACCATCCTAGTCTTTGCTACTCTACAAGTCAAATCAAGTAATCCAAAGTATTCAGATTACGTTACTCACTTAAATAATTTAATGGATTATGTTACAAACTACATTTTGGTGTGTGTAATCTGTAATCTGTAGGGGATTACATTTTAAAAGTCACCTTCCCAACACTGTTCGTATTATAGCATTAGAATGTCGTACTTCTAATCTCAACTCTGCAGTCTTCATTCCAAACACACACACACTGAAGTCCCAAACTCCCGAGTAGTTCTTAAAGTGTCAGATTTGGAGATAGTGCTTGTCTTCACGACTGGCCCCGGGCTGTTTTTGCATGGTGTGTGTGACAGGTAGAGCAGAACACTATCCCCTCTGCAAATCTCAATATGTTTTATCGCTCGCAAACTGCACTTCCGGGCCCCTTTGACAAAGAAAGTTGGCAATTCTTTCTCTTGTTATAGTTGTTTATGGTGGTTTGAATAGAAAACGACGCGCGATGAGGAAAACGGCGAAACGTTTGTCTTGTAAATGGAAGTTTGGAGATTCGATTTCAGCTTAAACTCGTGTTGTTGTTCCAGCGGGCAAAACATTTCTCCCACGTCGCCCAAGTACCAATGCGGTGTGGGAGGAATTGTAGCTATCGAAGAAGCCGTTGCCGCAGTTTGACAGGCGTGTTTCTTGCACTAAGTCCCAAGGCAGCTATGACTAGAAGTGTGTCCTGAGGGAATCGATAATAGATATGGATGTTTGAGCTGATATTTGATATTTTCTACTTTACTGTGGCTGATAATAATTGATTTTTGCAGATGCCATGACAGTGTTTTCTTGGTTAAGATTAGGTTTTTCATCTTTTACCAGCCCCTTTTGGACCAGTGTTGTCTCTTATAAGTTTATGATAATGAGTAACAAATTGTGAATGCCAATATAGACATAGTCCAGGATGTTTTTAGACTCTGAGGAAGAATATGGGGCCACGATATTCCATCTATCCATTTTCTTCCGCTTATCCCAAGACATTCCCAGGCCAACCGAAAGATATGGGCTACGTTCAGACTGCAGGACTTAACGCTCAATTCCGATTTTTTTGTGAAATCCGAGGTCGTTCACATTTCCAATTAAATGCGACTTGTATGTGAACTACAGTGTGAACATCAAACGGCCCGAAAGTGTCCCGCATGCGCACTGGAGACACGACGACGTCAACCGCAGCGAGCGTGCTCTGTGTTTACGGAAGTTGTCCAAACATGGACGCGAGCATTGAGCACCTGCAGATTTTAAAGTTCCTCTCGTACCGGAGCCAGAACATGAACAACTTACTTGTTTTAAGGAGGAGATTGAGAAGGAGAAGGACGAGGTTTTTGGCCGTGGCGTTTTGTGGCGACGTCCGTTGAAAGGAACGTGTGGATGTGGAGTCGTAGCCAAGAGAAGTGAGTGGTGATGTGCTTCACTTCAGTGACATGGAGTTCATTAACAATTTTCACCTACTTCAGCGCAGAATAGTGACGTTTGTGGCTTGTTGATAACGTGTAGGTCGGATGAATGCGTTTTGGCCGTTCAGACTGAAGTTGCATGTCAAAAGATCAGATATGTATCGGTTTCAGAACCACATATCCAAGTGGCCTTGGTCGCATTTGAAAAAATCGGATCTGTGTCGTTCAGACTGTCATTAAAAGATCGGATACAGGTCACATAGAGGCTAAAAAATCGGATTTGTGTCACTTCAGGCTGCAGTCTGAACGCAGCCATAACCTCTCCAGCGTGTCCTTCCTGTGGGAAATGCCGGAACAGATGCCCGGGCCACCTCAGTTCCTCTCGATGTGGAGGAGCAGCGGCTCTACTCCAAGCTCCTCCTGTGTGACTGAGCTCCTCACCCTATCACTAAGGGAGCTCCCAGCCACCCTACGGAGGAAAAATCATCGGTCATTACCCAGAGCTCATGACCATAGGTGAGGGGAGGAACGTAGATTGACGGTAAATCGAGAGCTTCGCCTTTCGACTCAGCTCCTCTTCACCACAACGGCCCGATACAGCGACCGCATCACTGCCGACGCTGCACCGATCCACCTGTCAATTTCACGCTCCATCCTCCCCTCACTCGTGAACAAGACCCCGAGATACTTGAACTTAAACCTGAACACTTGAGACAGGGACTCCCCACCCTCCCGGAGAGGGCAAGCCACCTTTTTCCAGTCGAGAACCATGGCCTCGGACCAGGCCACCATAGTGACCTGTATTAACGGAAAACCCTGTGATATTTATCTTTTCAAATCCATAGCTAGGCCCACAAATGTATCTGAAGTTGAAGTCAAGAACACAAATTAACTTTTCACTTTTGTAAAATTAAAGTACTCTAGTAAAGGGATAGTAATTACAAGGTGGAACAGTTTCAGTATGTGAGAAGAACTCAGCCTAAATAGTCAGAGTTTGTGTGTTAAACAAGTGTGACTGAAACAAAACACAACTCCAGGTCTGTTTGTGACGAGGAAACAACATTATAACAAAGATTAGAAAATACGGATCCTTTAAAAACGCAATGTAAAGCAACTAAACATCTCAACTTCTGTATGTTATTTACACTACGACTTCTCTAAACTGTACATATTCTCTTACAGATCAACGGACTACGGAACGACCTACAGCAAACTCAACCTGATGCCCGGGACAACCATCGTGGTGACCAGCTTCTACATCTGCCCCACCAACAAGAAAAAGGTAAGAACCAAGTCAAGATCCAAGAATCCACAGTTACGTTTTTTTTTTTTTTTTTTTTTTTCCCTTGGAGAAGTTATTTGCATTTTGAAAAGAAGCAGCAGTCGTAGAGGAGCAGACACTTTGTTTAGTCTGAGCTGGAGGCCTAAATAAATATTCAGAAGGCAGAGGAGGAATTTACATATTTTTGATGTAAATAAACGGCACAAGTGCTTTTTGGAAGTGGGTGAAAGCTTGTAGCTGTTGTGAACACAGGATCTTTGGTAAGTGGGCTGGTTTTACATTACGGTGTGGAATCGTGGAAAAATTAATTGGGAGTTGGTTGATTGTGTACGTTTTTTTGGAAGGCATTGCCGGAAACGCAATTTATAAGAATGACGGAGTAACTAAAGGGCAATTATTCATCTTTTTATATTACAAAATTAGCTTAAAATCCAATTGGAAAAGTGTTACAGTATATTTTTTCTTGACTTAATTAATTTCCGTGGTCCTAGTTTTTCTCGCGGAGGGTCTGTCAAACGCTTTTCTTCATGGAGATGTTATTGCTTTGGCTGGAATGTTTCACAGTGTGGCTTTAAACCTTTCTATCTTCAATGAGACCAAACCAGATCAAGTTACAGGTCAGATCTGTGGAGAGGCGACCCCGCTCACAGTCAGAATGTCTGTTTTAATATGTATTTTTGAGCTATAAAATCACCTGTATTTTAATAAATTTAAGGTAGAGCTGTTTAAAGTCATACTGTGGAACATTCTGATTTAAAATGTGCAAATTATAATGTTGTAGAATGATCCACAAGTGTCATAGATTATAACTGTATATAAAATAATTCTAAATAATGAAATTCAAATTAATAATATAAAATTGCTAAATGAACATGACAAAGACAAAGAATATGAAGTAATTTTAAATAATGAGAATTAAATCAGTAATATAAAATTTGATAAATGAATATGGAAAGACATAAGAATGATTCATGATTACCGTATTTTGTGGACTATAAGTCGCTCTGGAGTGCAAGTCGCACCAGTTTTTGTAGGTATTATTGAGCTGTAAAACCAACTGTAACTTAATAAATGTAAGGTGGAGCTGTTTAATGTCACACTGTGGAACATTGCAGGCAGAGCAATGACATATCCATAGAAACAAGCAGGTGAAAGACTCCCAGACAAAAAGTTACACAGTGGACCTTTAAAGAAGTGACCCGTGTGCTTCGGTTTGTTATATATCGTATTTTTTGGACTATAAATCGCTCTGGAGATTAAGTCGCACCAGCCAAAAAATGCGTAATGAAGAAGAAAATCATTTTGAAAGTCAAGTTCTAGTAATAATAATAGAAAAGAGAACAGACTGTTAACGTCACATATGAACAGTTCTATAAACAACAGAACAGAACAAGTTTACCAAACTCTCCATCTCACTTCAAATCACTAAATCCACTGAATTCTTCATCCTCGGTGTCACTTCTGAGCAACTCCACGACCTCTGGAGGTAAACAGAGCGCCGCTTCCTCTTCTGTGTAGCTGTTATCAGACTCAGCATTAGTTAAAATTATTCCGAACTTTCTGAATCCCAACAGGATGGTTTCGGTTCTCTTTATAAGTTTGTTTAAATTTTCAATTTTCAGTGGTACAGAAGTAATGTTGCGATGGACTGACATGATACAGACAGGACAGAGGCTCTTTCTGCAGGAGACATGCGCAGTAGAGCCAAGAGACAGTCGTACAGGAGAAGTAGGAGCAGCAGATACTGACACACAAGACTAGAGCCTCTCGTGACTGTCAGTGTGAAAATGTTAATATATAAGTTGCACCGGAGTATAAGTTGCAGGAAACACCCAAACCATGAAAAAAAGTGCGACTTATAGTCCAAAAATACGGTAGTTTATTTTGGATACATTTATGTTTTTATATGCCTTATTTCATGTTCAGAGTTCATTTTATGTTTTATACATCGCAAAACTGCTCTAAGTTACATATTTGTAGCCTATATTTATCATAAATTTGAACATTTTGCGTAAATAATTAATAACAGAGAAACAGAGAGAAATGCTGAATAAAGAAGGAGGAAAATAACATAAGGACGACAGCAGCAATAAGTTTTAAGAAGGATGCAAAAAGGGTTGTGTCTGTCCTGTCTGAGAAAAGTGTATAAAGTGTGTGGTGAGGGGTTTTACCAACTTAAAACATAATAATTGTAAATTGAATTATAGTCTGAAAAGTATGGTAAAAGAACAGAAAGAGGCCCAGGAAACAACAGGTAAAATAAAAATTCTGAGAAAAATGATGTGAAGTAGAACTATGAAAACATGTACAGTCCCCATACTTAAAGGGGCATTGTGTAACTTTTCTGGTGGAAGGTCCATCAAATGCTTTTCTCCTTTTTTCATTACTTTGTGTGACATTAAACAGCCCTAACTTACATTTATTCAATTACAGGTGGTTTTATAGTTTAAAAATACCTAGAAAAACAAACATTCTGACTGTGAGCGGGGTCGCCTCTCCACAGATCTGACCTGTAACTTGGTCTGGTTTGGTCTCCATGAAGATAGAAAGGTTTAATGCCATTCCAGACAAAACAATAACATCTCCATGGAGAAAAACATCCAACATAATGCACCTTTTAAGTATAATTGTGATTCTGTACACACTTCGTACACACACACACACTTTAAAAGACAATCAAAAAGAAAATTACAACAACAAAAAATATTCTGACTAAATCGCAGAGACAATAAGTATTTAAAAAGTGGAATATTATACAGACAGACTTTAAAAAATGCAAACTGGAAACTTGCACCAGCCCAGAACCTTGTAACCCAACTCACCAAAGCAAACAGTGTAATCTCTCGTTGTAAACCAGTCTTACTCCAGTCTCCAGGCGCTGTTTGATAAACTTCCTCCCACTGCCTCTTACTGTCACACCTCTACCCTCTCCACGTATCCATCCGCCTCTGGCAAACAACAACCAGGCTCTATTTCCATGTCATTAATATTGCTTCAGATCACGTTTTTTGGACAGAAACGGCGAAGCGAGCCTCCCGAAAGTGACTGGATTTGATCTGGCCCCTATCTCGTGATCGATTGGAGCGGCCCTGGACTTCGCTGATAAGTGTTGAACAATTAGAGCAGAGCGGAGGAGGCAGCGGAGCACTCATCTGGAGTTAGCTACTGTACCCCGGGCTCAGGCAGGCTTATCTAACTCCACACGAACAGAAAGAGACGAGAGACGAGTGGAGTTTGAAGTGTGGAGGGGCCCGGGGCGGAGGGGGGAGCGGGACTGTGTGTCCTGAAGGGTACTGCTGGTAGAGTTAGTGATGGAGGTGAGGTTTAAGAGTTTTCAGAAGACTTGCGCTTGGTTAACATTTTGGGATTTTTATGTCTTGTAGCGGTAAGAGTTTAGTTAAAACATACAGTTAAAAGTTTTAAGTGACAAGACTCTTTTGGCATCGCAAACTGTTGAATCAATATCAGAGGCCTATGCAAACTTTTGACATGACTTTTATTGAATAGTTTTTTAATATTTCACTTTTTATAGTTTGTCTTAATAGAAGAAAACACAGTGTTTCTATCCTGATTTAGTCCAGGTTTAGTTTCAGATTGAGTCCCAGTTTAATTCCAGTTTTGATGTTGTGCGAGAGTAAAGGCCTATTCATACTTCATAAGAGCATAAGAACTTGTCCAGCTCCTTTTCGGCAGTTCTTGCAGCTTGTTCTCGACGCCTCAACTGAGCACAACTTTATTCTTCAGTTCGGCATCATTGAGTGCGTATACATGCACATCAGTAACCCGGTTATGATCGGGTTTTTTGAGTATCCCGGTTTCTTGATGGTGCATGTATACGCAGTAACCCGGTTTCAGTATCCCGGTTATGGCAGTATCCCAGTTATTAGAAACCGGGTTACTGTAGCTGGGTTATTCCGATAGTAACCGGGATACTTGTGACATGTAGACGCAGTACCCCGGTTACTGCAACATAAAGTTGAGTGCGCATGCGTCCAAAAGACACTTTCCAGCCTTTTACCACAACAGTAGTCACATAAATAAATTGACCAACATAAATAAAATGACCAAACGAGTGAAATGACTGTAAAATAAAGAGCTGCGTTAAACCTGCACACGTACAATCTGCACTCGTGTGACGCTGAAAAGCTAAAACATGAACTATCTCCTATACTCTATACGCACGGAACACACTTACCATCATTAGCGTCTCTTCTGTCACAGAAATAACACACATAATCCACAGTCGTGTCATTTAGTCCAAAAGAAACTGATCGCATCAGCGGCGCAAGGAGCGAGTTGTTCTTATCACCGCTAACAGTTTATGCTAATTAGCCTACGGTCTTAAGTTTCGTTTCTGTAAAACGTAAACAAATGTGATCAGAGCTGAATTATATGATCAAACGGGCTGATGTGTCTATAGTGTTTATGGTTTATATGTTGTAAAGTTGAGTTTATTTAAGCAGAAGATTTTAATGAAGAATCTGCACAGTGGATTGTGGGAGATCTCGTAGCTCTTTAGCTTCTTATGCTAAAGGAGCTCACGGTTTGTATTTTTCCTGGTTTATGAAATTGATTTAAGTTAATTTTTGCGCCTGCGCATTTGTAAGATTATGTCAAGAAACCGGGATACTCCATTTGATCATGTATACGCGAATATGAGTATCCTGGTTTCTCAGTGCGCATGTAAACGCAGTAACCTGAATACTGACATAATCGGGATATGGCTAATAACCGGGTTATTGATGTGCATGTATACGCACTCACTGTCCGACATCTTTGCTCTGATCGGTTATTTATTTTATGCGGTCACACACAGCCAATAAAATAATAGCTTGGCGGAGTTTGTAGGTTCTGGTGCACAAATCCAAATTCCTAAATATTCATTTAATAATAATAATGCATCAGTTTTATGCAGCGCTTTTTTGGACTCTCAAAGACACTTTACAGAGCATTATTCATTCACTCCACACCCACTGGTAGTAAAATACTATTGTACCCAC